ATTCGATTATACTAAATTGAAGAAAGTTATTCCAAAGATATGGTTCAGTGATCTTACCAAGGAAGAAACTTAAGCAGTATATTATAATCACCTTCTGAATTCCTCATTTTAAATTTGGAAGAGTGTCCTTACCTATCAGTGACGTAAGCAGCAAATGCAATCTTATATCTTTTAAACATACATTCAACAACAACAGATGCTGTCTTTTGGGGGAAAAATATACTACAAAGAAATATTGACTGGTTTTCCGTGTTCAAAAGGAATTTAACATATACGAGGGAACATCGCTTAAGGGAGTTCAATTTTAAATTACTGTACAATATACTACCTGTTAGAAACAATCTTTACAAATGGGGATTAGCAGACGACAGATACTGTCCCCAGTGCCATGTCATAGAGGACATAGTGCATGCGTTTATCAAATGTGAACAGAATAAGAATTTCTATGATTATATCAAACATGTTGTGAAGTACCCTTTTAATATTGATTTTGTCATGGATATCTTTTGTTTACTTAAGATGAATATTGACAGAGAGGTAGACATTGTAACAACGATCGCATTATGGTGTATATACAAAATGTTGGTCATCCGGAATAAGTATGGATTTAATGAAAACCGTTTCAAACTAAATCAGGAGCTTAAAAAGCCAGACCAGAGGTTGCCAAAGAAACTGTTACAAGCACTTTAAATGAAAAGTAGCAAAATATTGTATAGTTGCGAAAAAAATATGTGATTTCAATTGATAACATTGTGCGTCAATTGTATTTGTTCTCACAACTTTATTTAGATGTTTGAATGTAAATAAACACCTCATTAGAGGCACACACAAAAATCATTAGAAACTATTATATTCACATACTAAAAATTTTGCTCTACGATTGGTCAAAAGTAAATCACGTGATGAAAGATAGATCGCCCATTATTGCTGGGAAAAGCAAAAAGTTCGTTACCACTATCTACACAGTGCAACGCACTTTCACTGAAGATAGAGGTACTATCTACAAAGGGCAACGCACTTTCACTGAATATTATCCAAAAGCGCACTAAAACAGGCGTAATTAAGCGCGCATTATCAATAAGCGCAATTAAAACAAACACATGCGCGCACCGTACCCTCAAGGGGTTGGGTTAAACTACTGTTTAACTTTTTTGGTGTGAATTTGGGCATGGTGTCTTTTATGTAGATGCATACACGTCCTTTTCTTTTTGTAGTTAAATTGTTTTAGATGTGGAATATAAAACAAATAATCACCTTTTGGTTTCAGGCGATGGCAAACTATCACTTCCTCGTCGATCAGAATGTATACGCTATCTTTCCTCAGCTTCGCTTCGGAAAGATAGCTACATCCAGATCACCTCGGAAGTGATAGTTTGTCCCATCACCTTCACCAACGGTAGTTATTTGCTTATTAGCCCCCTCTTTATTACTGTTCAATTAAACAGAGTCAATAATTATATATCCTTTAAACGTAAAGTCACCCAATATGGTATGTCTTTGTTTGAATTTCACTGGAGCCTTACGGCGTACACATAGATGGCAATGTAATATTAATTACTTCTCAACGTGCGTCAGATTGTCTTTTTTCTTCATTCGATTGAGTGCCTTTCAGCGAAAAATATAGCAGTTTGGTTCGGTCCAGCAAAACACACACCTTTGAAGCTGTACAAATTAATTCAAGTTAATATTCAATTTAAGGAGGGGGTGAAAGGGAGAGAAAAAGACGTATATATTGGACTGGTGAGTATATTCACAAATTTACATATAATCATTGGATTGCACTTCCACAGTAATACATTGATAAATTGTTGACTTATTTTAAAGTATTGTTATCGTTAAGACTTAGGTTTATTGATTTAAAGGAGTGATATTGCCATATTTAGGCAGATCTTTAGCAGAGGTTATGATGTATAGAAGACTGACACAATGTACTATGAATGATATCTTTCTCTCACTTAATCTCGCAGTGCCTATCACTCTGATCCTCCCGCTTTCTCTCTCCTTCTCTCTCTGTCTATCTTTCTTCCTATCTTTCTCTTTATTTGAATTTAAATATTGTTTTCGTTAGTTTTCATTGCTTTTATCTCTTTCTCTGTTCCTTTCCTAGAGTCTGCTTATCTCTCTTCTCTGTGTCATTTCTTCTTCTTCTTCGTCTTTGTCTTCCTTTTCTTCTTCTATCTCCTCTCACTCTCTCTCTCTCTGTCATTCTTTCTTCTCTCTCTCTCTCTCTCTCTCTCTCTCTTTCTCCCCCTCTTCCCTTTTGCCTCTAATTGCTTCTCTTACGATTCTCGCTTTGTAACATGTTTGTTTGTAGGTTTGTTTGTTGGTTTGATTGAGTGGTTGATAAATTGATTGTATTGATTGAGTGGTTGATAAATTGATTGTATTGATTGAGTGATTGATAAATTGATTGTATTGATTGAGTGATTGATAAATTGATTGTATTGATTGAGTGTTGATTGAGTGGTTGATAAATTGATTGTATTGATTGAGTGATTGATAAATTGATTGTATTGATTGAGTGATTGATAAATTGATTGTATTGATTGAGTGATTGATAAATTGATTGTATTGATTGAGTGATTGATAAATTGATTGTATTGATTGAGTGATTGATAAATTGATTGTATTGATTGAGTGATTGATAAATTGATTGTATTGATTGAGTGATTGATAAATTGATTGTATTGATTGTGGCTCACGATAAATTGTATCTATCTTAAACGTGACATCTATCTATAGATACGACTCACTGATCGAATTACGATTAATTCCGGGGAAATACAAATACTCAAGAGCAATTCCAATACTGTCTTGTTGTCTTGTATACATATTCCAAAAGAATATCTCTTGGATTACTTAATGGGCAAGTCCAGCTCATTTACAAGTTAAATTAAATAAATAGAGAGGAATCAAACAAACAAAACGGCCAAAGTTTCATGAAAATCGAATATAAAAGAAATTTATGAAATGTTACTGTTACAGATTCGCATAATTTCATGAAACAGCGATTTGTATCACATAGGCTGTATCCAAATTAGCGAGTTGATAATGTCCTCCCGTTATGTTTTTCCATCCGTTTGTGTAAATACAAATTTAACACAACTATCAATCTTCTGCTCTGGGAACGTCAAACGTATCTTCAATTCTTATATAATATAAAAATAATAATAAAATCACCATTACTGTTATTCATCAGTCACCCCGCCAAAACGATTCCATACCGAATTTAAACCGATTGACTTTTGCTATTTGGGGTTACACTGTGTGTGTAATGTGCGTGATTTGTCTGCAATCGGGCGTTGTGGCGTGCGCCTGTAATCCAGCTAACAATGGAAGTTAAAAACTGATTCAGCAGAGGAAGCAGGTTCGAAACTGAGTCACGTCTTTCGAAGTCGGTCCCCAGACGTAAATAATCATATCTGATTGATTGATATACACATCAGTAAAAACCCAATTACACACACACACACTGCTGTCGGTCTGGGGTTGGTTTCTTTGCTGCCATTTGATTTATTTTCTATTGCATTTCATAAAAGTAAAAGATAAGTTGTCAGAGTATCATATTTCATCAAACTTTGTTAAAACAAAATTGCGGAAGAAGGACTGCCATTGTAAATAAAGTGCGTGAAAACAATACGATTTAGTGGTGGTTATTTTACCTGACTGCTAAGAAATTATAAATGCTTGTTGGTAAGCAACCAGATTGCCGACGGCTTTAGGTTCTCTCCGAGGGACCAGGTAATGAGGATTAATACCTTAATAACAACTGGGCTATCGCGCCTCCTACTAAACAAGACAGACCTAAACAAATCTTATGAATAGATGCGCATGCTTATTAGGCAGAATGGACACATAATTGATAACCTATGTAAAATGTAATATGGATCAAATAAAGCAAATGTAAATGGCATTTTTTTTTTTTTTTTTTATTACTCATGCAAAACATAATACAAAAATAATTATATCACAACAAATATGTAATGAAACTATAAATATAGTGGAAATAGCACGAGAAAAGAGGAACTAACTTGAATCAGAGCTTGTTGAAGTGTTAGTTCCTCAGATTATGAAGGAAAGATTTTTACAGTTGCTTTAAAAATAGGAAAACTTGAAATTCAATCAACAAAATATATGGGGAATAGTGAGGGGATGACATCAACTCGATAATTTGCATACAGCCTATGCAATACATGTCATTGTTTGAAATTATGTCATTCTTTAAGTTTCCATAATTTTTTTTTTGCGTCCGATTGTGTTTACCATTTCGTTTGTTTAATTTCCCATATTTATTCAATTAAACTTGCAAATGGGTCTGACATGCCTTTTAATACGTCATCGCAATGTTTGCATAATCCTTTAAAATTCAAAGGATGATGGACGCTTGTTTTAGGTTGACTTTTCGAAAGTCGTGCTGCCAGTCGTGCTCCTGATTAGTGTTGTCATTTGGAGTATAGTTCCTTTTAAAATCTATTATTCATTACCGCTACTGAGGTTTTATTCTCCTTGACATTCTTTAATTATGAAACGGTTTGTGTAAATAAGAAGTGAAGATGAAAAAGGATGTTTACGATGTTTTTGCAGTGTTTATCAACCCACTATCACCTTGGGTGGTTAAAAGTTTGGTTACGCTGTCGCACCCTACTAGGCAACCGTTTCATATCCTTATTGAACAAGTGAGGGCGTTTATTTGTTATACATGTGTATTTTGTAGATACCGCAACCATAGTTTTCAGGTTTTAGTAATTATCTGCCTGTTTGCTTTCAATGACCTTCTATCTCCATTCAAATATGTATTGCACGCAGTAGCAAGGCTGGTTAGTATTGTATATACAAAAAGTAGTGATGCATGTTGCACGAGAGGTAAAGGGGGAAAATATGCGGTCTTTAGGAGGCCCAAAATGCCACAGGGTTCGATGAAATTGACCAAAAACATCAAAGTCTAAGTATCTAAAAATCATATCTAACAAACTCATCCCTTGAAACAAATCAAATTATACCACGCCAAAGCAAGACACCTAGTGTGGCAATTGTGATAAGTGATGTTCATGGTGTTTATTGTTTGCAGTTACATCTATAAAGTAAGTTACTCTATATACTTTTTGAAATATTTCATTACTGCTATTTTTGCGGAAATATTTTTTCCCCATGGGAGGTATGTGGCAACTCAAGAAAATATGCATTATTTGCAATGGAGTATCCAAACCGTGGACTCTAGGGGGCAAGATATTTTATTATTTTTCAATTACTGCAGTGCTATAGTAAGGGTACCACTTTTCAAAGGCCCTGGTTTGCGATAAAGGGGGGGGGGAGGGGCCGTACAAAATGACGTATTTGGGGAAGAAAAGTAAGTAAGTCACTGTGTCTAAATTTCGTTCTGTTTCTAAAGAAGTCGCTATTTAAACTACTAACAGCAGCTAGCAGTATATAAAAAGTCACTACATTTTCGTCGGAAACTCATATTCGCCGACTTTGTATATCCAACAAATTCAACAAATTGTGCAAAGTGAATACTTTAATTGTATTTTTATTTTACATTTGTTTAATTGTAATAACTTAAACCATACTTAAATATTATAAGTACATGTACTTTTTTCGGGGGGGGGGGGGTGTGAAGTTCTACTTGGCCCCATTGCATTTTTATTTCATCAATGCTCTAAACTAATCAATTCACTCTCAGGAGAGCAATTCAGCCAATTATTTCAAATGGATTATAAAATAAATTGCAGTGAATACATTATGAAAGAAAATGATCTCTAATGAAATAACAACTCCGAAAAAGGAAAATCCCATCTCTACCTCCATACGAAAGAGAAGATTGTATTCAAGTGAGGGGCAAATGTGTTATGTGTTTTCTCGTTCTTGTTATGTGATGTAAGAAGAATAACCTAGGAGGGAATTGTACCGTGAAATGTATGACTCTTCAGAGGCCCTGATAATAATTATGATGAGAATTTTCTGAAAAGTTTGAATCACCGAACGTTGATGCCTTATAAAGGGTGACGTCCCATATATATATATATATATATCTGTGGGCGCATGTTCATGTGAATTTCAGCATGAATAGGCCAAAACGTTGTCATTTTGATGATTCACATGATTATTCTAATCGCCAATTATTTGCCTCTGTACTACATGTTCCACAATCAACCTTTAACAAGCATTTTAGATCTACACCTGCTCATTTTAACATTCAATGACGTGATCAGAACTCGACTTCATTTTTAAGAGAGTATTTTTTTCCTATTCATACAGATCAAATCATCAACGATGTCTATCAAGTTCTGGGCCTACTTCTTTCTTGTCTTGGGAATCAGCGCTACACACATAAGTGGAGAAGGTAAGGCGTGTGTAGGGTGATGATAATCGTTTAGAGCCCCACTGCACTACTTATAGCTACTTGCGCCCTCTATATATCAAACAATGTCTTATCAGTGCCTGTTGGTCCCCCAATTATCATCTTTTTCTATGTTAATTGAGAGCTGATTTGATGAGAAAACCACCTGTCGGTGACCTTGCATGGAGGTCTAATCCCACTGGCCAAACTAGTACAAACGGGCTTTAAACTTGCTTTAGCGTAAACATACCATATACATTTCAATGTAGTTAACAACTTTTGTTTTCCTTGAATTAAAATTCATTTTTAAAACGAATTTGAAAGGGCAATCCGACCCTCGTAATAAATTCTTTCATGTGAGAGCAGAAAATAAGAGAAATGAATGTAAAAAGTATGAAATAAATCGGAACAATATTAAAAGAATTATGAATGTATGAAATATGAGATCACTATCCTATGCGAATCTCAAAATGGGAGTTTGGTCAGTGCATTGTGACGTAGTCGCGGATAACTCTCCCGCTTTTCGTAGTACACAAATATTATGTGTTTCTCCTAACTGCTTTCTCCCTTCTACTTGGCACTACTTGAAATATATTATGGATAGCATATTACAAATTGAAAGTTTAAACATTTTGAGTCTTGGAACAAATAGAAAAGTTGTCTGACACTTCTCAAAGGTACTCTTTCTGTACAATTTTATCTCTGAATAGGATTTCTTTTTGTAATCCAGCAAAAATTGTATAAAAGTAGTTTCATATTCTAAATTCTCCTGGATGTAGCGCGAGTCGGAACGAAATTTTGGTCGATCGTCTCTTTTTCTTTTGCATGTCGTTTAACCAAAAGTACATAATTCCGCAAGAGAAACTTTGTGTGAAGTATGTTAACTATTATCCCAAATTGTGCAGAACTTAAGTATTTTGTTTAAAAAACATCTCAACAAACTTGTTCACAGGTTGCGATAAATGATAATTGTAGTTATTATTGATCATAGTGTTTACGTTTCATTTTTTGATATACAAAATGGTTATAAGTATTAACATTTGATTTAATCTTTTAGATGTGCGTCTGTTTAGTGGAAACGGAGGGAAGGGTTAAACTCCAGTACAACGGAGTCTGCGGAACTATCCGATGACTCATGGGGTATCAACGATCAAATAGATCAATATTTACAGAGATACAATCCATTTCCCATGAATATGTTGACGTCATAATATGCAAGTTCGTATTTTGAGTTCCAAGGCTATTATGATGATGTCACGATATGCTTAATGGCCAAACGAGACATGAAATGATATCTCCGACTCATACTTTATCTAAATATGAAAAACAATTGAGGGCCCCGTTGCATCCCAAGTAGCTATAGTGGATTTTGTATAGGCATGTTTTTGCATATGTTGGAATTCAGTCTGTCATATTGACCACCTGATAATAAAGCAGAAAGAAAATTCTGACGAAATTAGTATGACAGACCACTAATGAAATAAACTTGATACATGCAAACAATTGTGGCGACTCTCTTCTTTAAAACTCTCTTGGGCTCTCTCAAGTTTGGAGAATTTTTCAAACTTTCGGTCGATAGAATATAGTCTCGCAGAAGCTACTGGACCGGGCCCTGTGGTATAGTGGTTAAGGCATTGGTGTTCTAGGCCAGGGCCCAGGCTCGATTACCGGGCGGAGATGTTTTGTTTCAACCTTTGCAAAAATTCCAACAAGGGAGGATAGCAAAGGGGACTTGGATAGAAAAACTCAACATTTATTCCCTCATTTTCTCTCAATTGTTTATTATATTCTTGCTAAATTGTTATCGCTATTTCATCATACTTTCTTACACAAGGTGTGGTGACCACGGAATTACTATGTGACGGGGATCCAGCGATTTTAATCGATGGCGGCGACCTACTGATACACGTCCAATCCTCGTTTTACGGGCGTGCCACAGACGATATCTGTAATTCAACACCGTCACCGACCCCACCCGGTGCTGAGGTCATTCTACCGTGTTCCAGTCCATCGGCACCAGTCCTGATTAACAACATTTGTCATTTGGGCAGAGCATGCATTCTGGTGGCCGACAACGGTATTTTCGGAGCCCCCTGCAACGGTACCACTGAGTATCTTATGATTACATACGTGTTGTTGCCCCCAACACAAACGCTACCTACCACATCTGCTTCACCAACAACAATGCCTATCACATCTGCTCCACCAACAACAATGTCTACCACATCTGCTCCACCAACAACAATATCTACCACATCTGCTCCACCAACAACAATGTCAACCACATCTGCTACACCGATAACCACAGTAGAAAAATGTAAGTTCTAAGAAACCACTACACTAACTGCAGGGAAAGGAGAAAGATCGATACGTGCTCCTTTCTGTATCCCTCGATTTCGGTAAAAACATATGGTCGTTTTTCCAAAATCAAAAAACTGTGACAAAAGATATGAATTGTTAATTTTCAATAAGAACATCGTTTTCTGAGTTCATATTTTAATGTCCTCTACTGCCTACACACACTTGGCACAAGCCCCCCCCCCCCCTCGCTCAGTAGGGCATGTGTATGCATGTTCCCTTCTTTTGAAAGCACCCCTGTTTCCCCGGTGTGTATAATTCAATACGGGCCGGACTTTGTTGCATGAAATTTACTCCTTTACCGCAGATTTTGGGAATACGAGTGCGGTCCCTCCGACCGTGGAGTAGGGGGGGGGGCACAAGGCATACAGAAAGGAGCACGTATCGATCTTTCTCCCTTTCCTCTAATTATTTGTACAAACTCAATGAGAATAGCCTTAAAACACTCGATTTTTTTATAGAATCTATTTATTTTAGTTCATAAACTACTGTGTAACGGGCTCTGTCCTTTAATCGGTATTTTTCCTTTATGTATTTTTGTCTGTGAGGGGGGGGGGGGCGGCATTATTTGTTAACAACAATCAATGAGGCATGCCCTTAACAAGAAATTCACATTTCTTTCGGGCAATCCCATAACAAATATATGACTTTTCGAATAACGCAACTCGTGGCAGTTTGGTGCAAGGCATACTGACGCAAATGTATGAGGAAGTGAAAGGCATCACGAGAATGGCCTCGACATTTTCCGATGTTCTTCACTAATAAATTCCGCTTTCCCCTTCGCAAAAGTCAAGTGTTCAAACCATTCGACTGTTTATTTTCCATTCATAACTATCATGTCCTTTATTAGCCTCGGTCTATTTAAAAGGGTTTCAAAAATATTCAGACCATTCTCTCCTCAAATTAATAATAATAATAATAATATTCCGCTTTTACATAGCGCTAAATACACGATGTCTCTAAGTGCTTTACAGATCATTACCCTGGTCATTGGTTTCAAGCTTGCCCACACAAAATTGTATGCACGTTTTCAACTCCCTGGGGAGCATTCCAGCCAGGCGTCATTTTACAGATGCTCACAATGCTGAACAAACTATAGTTTCGCATCCTACCCATTTAACACCTGGTGGAGAGTGGCAAACATAGATTAACATCTTGCCAAAGGACGTTAGTGCTGGGCTCGGATTTGAACCCCGTACCTTGTGATCTGCAGTCAGGTGACTTATCCACTAGACCTCAAATTAACAGTTCTTTACAGAGATTTTACCAATAGAATACCAGTTGAGGCCTGTTCTAATAGAGGGTTCATCTGCACTTACACACTCGATTCATTGATCATTGCATATTGCATCTACGAACCATTTCAGCTATAAAGCATTTCGCTTATTCTGAAAATCATCATGGTTGGTGTGCGCTTCTACCCCCCTTGTTTTATTTAGTAGTATTATTACGATATGAGAGGGTATCAGTATACTGTCTTGAGATGTGTTTCTTGTTGTTTCTCCTTTGTTTCACACAAGTTGTTGTAGCGATATGCGAGGGCAGCAAAACAGTCCTGAGCTGCACTAACGGCAGGATCAACATCTGCAGCGCCCTCTACGGGAGGACCGAAGCTGATATATGTCCACGCGACAACATGGATAGCAATACAAATTGCATGGCAACTGGTGTGTTCGACACCATTTCGTGTTGCACTGGTCTTTCCCAATGTGCTGTGACTGCATCGGATAGTGTGTTTGGCGATCCATGTCCAGACACATATAAATACCTTCAGATCACTTATACGTGTGAACCCGAGAACGAACTTCCTCCACAAACCCTGAGTAATTAAGTATATCATAAGTCTAAACACGCTTGAATATAAAATAACGCAGTAAAAAAAAAAAAGATTCATCAAGAAGAAAATATTAAAATATTTATGAAGAAATAAATGGTACTACAAAAAGACATGTGATTTTATAATAACGGCGTGGCCAATCTTAAAAAGCTGCGGTCAATTGTTCACCCATACACATGTATACCATTCTTTGTATTTATCACTTTCAATTACTTCACCACTCAAATTCAAAGTTCACCATCGGCATCGAATATAGAGGTTGAAGATCGAGATATTTGACAAGGAGGGGGGGGGGATTTCCTAATAGGGGGTATCGTGTTATAAGCGACCGCTTGTGATTTCTCGCAGAGACGCGGAAGCGTGATCACTCAATACTGTGATCTGCTCGAGCTGATTAACAGATTAGCAGATCGGCGGATGAAAGGAAAGCGTCGCCGTGTTTTCAAATGCGCTAGCCTGTTGATGGAGGATACGGTGCATTCCATAAGACCATTCGGTCTTGAAAGGACAGGTCATTTTCAATAATAACTGTACTGTTTATATGGCAAGCCAAATGCCCAGTAATTCTTTTTTTTTAAGTTAGTTCATCGCCGGTAAGCTCAGTGTTAGTCACGAACACTTTGCATAAGACAGTTATGGACTGATAAAATTGATGTTTTGCGATAAAGATCGGTTTTTGCTGGAGAAACTGAGTTAATCGCCCCTAAACCATTTTGTGAATGATAAGCCGAGCTTGTCATTGGTTATCCAGAGTTTCTAACGAAAGACTAAGATCAAATCTTTCGAAAGGTAGTTTATCGGCATAAACTTATTTCCTCTAATTATTGGGCATTTTAGCTTTTCAATGACCGTCTTCTTCTCATTTGCTACATTACAGTGAGCATCGACATATGTGAGGGAGAGTGGGAACCAAGGCTCAACTGCCCGGATGGACAGACCATCAGCATTTGCTCGTCCATCTACGGCCGAAGTGACACAACAACTTGCCCGGACACCTCGGCGACAACGTCCAATGTGGACTGCATGTCACTGAATCCCTTATACGTAAGGACGACTTGCCAAGGGAGGCAGAGTTGCATTGTTTTCGCCGGTGATAGAAACCTAGGTGGCGATCCCTGCCCTGATACCCACAAGTATCTACACATTGATTATAGATGTGTCGCGGAGTAATGACACCTGTTTCTCTCTTCCTCTTGCTGTTTCTCTCTCTCTCCCTCTCTCTCTATGTATTTTTCTTCTCTGTTTGTTGTTTTTTTGGTTTATTTGTTTCTTTGCTTTATGTCCTTCTTCTTGTTGGATGTTGGTTTTAGGGGGCGGGGAGTGTGCGTGTACGCATGGGTCTGTTTTTCTCCCCCTGCTCCCCCTGCTCCCCCTGCTCCCCTCGGTCTCTATTCCCCTTTCTCTCTCTCTAACTCTTACTGGCCCCCTTCTATCTACATACATATCCCCTCTCTCTCTCTCTCTCTCTCTCTCTCTTTCTCTCTCTTTCTCTCTCACTTTATATATATATATATATAACTGCTCCCTCTCCTCTACTGCCTTTAATTCAGTCATTCATTTTGTCTTTCCTTTATTCCTTTGCTTATATTTACTTTCGTTTTCATATAATTACAGTTAAAAGTTAAAGTGAATATTGTATATTCAGCAAAGTGACGAAGTTGATTTAGCAACACATAACTTATATCCTAGGCACAGCAGTAAGGACGTGCTTGTATACAATTTTTGTTAAGGAGAACTTTATCTTCAAGGTCTACTAAGATGTAATAATATTTAATGTACAAATGTAAATCTTATCTTGCGTTTTATATAATCCCCAGCGATCTGATTTTCGAAGAAGGGTAATTCTATCATAATAGATATGGAAATCTAAACAAACATCATCTTTCTGGATGAGGTTTTAAAGGATGATAATAATACTAATATAATGCATTGGAGCCTTATCGACGAAATAAAAGCCGAATCGGCATCAATTCGTAGCCAATCGCATTACTAGCATGACATCCCTACGATTCTGAGGCGATTTAGCTTTCCTCCTCCAAGGAAGCTTGAAACCCCTTGAAATATTTAAATTGTATTAATCATGTGATCCTCGATCGGTCACTAATACAAAACAAGATGTAATGTGCACATCGGCTGCAAATTCTTCCAAAATAGGATCGTAATCAGATCAGTATGGTGTGCGCCGGGCTTTACTTTACTTTTTCGTTTTCATTAAGTATGCTCTCGAACTTTATATCATATTGAAAAGTAATTTCTTTAATATAACTTTCAGGTCTGTTAATGAACGACCTTTTGTTCACATTCTGGTATAAGATGTTTCATTTTACATAACTTGGCTTACTTCGGAACTCCGGGTCATCGCGTCCAGTCGGGTGGTCGTGTTACACAACCTTTCGTAAAATGAAAGCCGGAAATCACGTGACCTTTCGTACATTTGTTGTAGGTTTTTCACAAAGTGTCTGGTAAACCAGACCAGCTAGATGAAAGGGATTTATTTCACAACCCCCCCCCCCCCCCCGACATTTCGTGAATAAAGGGGCATGTCTTCACAAAAGGTTGGGAACTTGACCACCCTACCAGACGCGATAACTCGATGATTTGAAGTAAGTCCATAATTATCGTGTCTAATTGTAGTCGCCTTACAAATTATATCTTCATTTTATGATCTTCATTCTAGTTTATTAAGTTAAAACTTAACGTTTCATATATTATATGTTAATGCTAATGTGTTAGTTTACATTTACATTTTAATTTTGGAAAACTCCTTTTAAGTAATCGACAGTGATTGCTTTACTGCTTACATTATGATAATACTGTTGTTTATGTATACTTTAAAAAACACAAATAAGTGCTCAGCTGTGATTTTTTTTTCAAAAGCTCGTTCAGATATAAAGTTGTAGACCGTGGCGGTTTAATTGTTTTAAAGCCCCTCTGCACTAGTTTGGCCAGGAGGGATTACACCTCCCTGCATGGTCACCGACATGTGGTTTTCTCATCGAATGAGCTCTCAATTAACATAAGAAAAAGGGGATAATTGGGGACCAATGGTCACCGATTAGGCATTGTTTGTTATATAGAGGGCGCAGGGAGCTATAAGTAGTGCAGTGGGGCTTTAAAGTTTAAATGGATGGAAGTTTCATGCACCATAGGTTCTATAAGCATATTCACTGAGCTCTGTGCTATGATATACTGAAATGTGAAGTTTATTACATTTGGCAATTTAGGACCACAATAAAATCGCCCCGATTTATTGCAATATATCTAACTTCTGAGTCAGAGAAAATATCGTTTTTAAGAACAAGCGCCTATAAAATGCGATCCATAATACTTTCAGAAAATCTATGTAATGTCAATAACTATATCTCATTGTGTTGCCTATATAGAAATCGTGTTCCTATAGTGTAACACATCATTGTCATGTTCGCTCATCGCCTTAGGTTGGCAATTTTAAGGTTTTGGGGGACCGGTTTTAAGTTTCTTAAGAAAATTTGATGGCTAACGCAGCAAATGAACATGCTCAAAACGTCCAAAAGGAATATTGTAAATTCTCTTGAATTTCAAGGGGGCATTAATCGTGTTCAACCCCGCCTAAAAATAATCATTAAAAAAAACCTGGGCACGCCATAGGGATATTTGTATGTGTAAATTAACAAGAAGAAAAAAATCAGGATCATTTAATACATTTTTTATTGGTATATAGAGATTTAAGGCTTGTTCAGATAAAGCGCCATAAACTGCCAAGAAAAAGAAAACAAAAACGCCGTGGTTTTTTGTTACACCTGTTAAGAAATGGAAGCTGCGCACAAGATATAACTTGGGAGCATTCACCGAGCTCTGTTTAATGAGATGGAGACATGTGAAGAGTAGACAACATAACGTCATCATCTAAAATAACCGCCGTGGTTTCCGCTGCGTAATATCTGAACGAGCCTTTACACATCTGTGTTTGTTTGTTTGTTTGTGCTTTGTTTTGTTTTGTTTGGGCGGAAGGGTTACGTGAGTAAGATACATGTAATAATTAGAGCAATCTACAGGTACGGATTAATAAAATTAACTTTTAGTAACCCATGCAAGTGTGAACCTGCTCATTTCTATTGTATATAGGTCTATATTTACGCATCAATGAAAAAAAAAAACTTGAAAGTTGATTTCGGGTCGGGTGTGAGATGGGCGAACAAGAAGGATGGAATGTAGCTTTGACATGTGCATTATATTGACAAAATCATTTCAGTTTAAAAGCTTCTTTATTCAGATTTGAATAAGACCATTCAGAACGTATTTGATGGCTGTTCTAATAACCACAGGAACCTCCCTTTGGTATTTTGATCAACACGACCAATGAATTGATTCAAAGTTCAATTAAAGGCATGTTATTCATCTCTGACAATTGTCATGATAACAATTGTTATTTCTGACAAATATTTGTGATAGGAATAGAAGTGAAAACAAGGATGTACGAATATGACATACTGTGAAGTACTAGTATTCACGTATACAAAAAAACAAGTACTTTTTTGGATGAATTTGTTCTAAGTTCAGATATCAATTCGCCCGACCCCAAATCAACTTTCCATAAGTACTTCAATTGATGTGTATACTTGTGTATATGAGTGTCTCTGTGTGTGTGAGAGTGTGTGTTTTCTCTGTTTGTTTTAGCATTACTATTCTTTATTTAAACAAAATAGGCTAAGACATTGAAAGTGTGCACGCAGACCTTGCAAAATGCTTGGCTAAGGAGAAAATATTTTTGTTTCTTTTTCTCTCTTTTCTTTCTCTATCAATACAAAACACATTATAACGTACCAGGGGTAATTGAGGTACTAGTTGTCATACAATAATTGAACGGCTTTACTTTCTTGAGATAAAAGGGTATTGCCGCACACGCTTTGAAAATGTTTCACTCGTCGTGCCCACACGTGACATATGCTCATGATCAGCTCGTGCGATATGCCCTTATATCCCATTCAAGGCCATCCAATATACATTGTGACTATATTTGTGTCGATATTGATGCAACCATAATTCACAGATAACTTTCGCTCAGGTGATTACAATAATTAATTCCAACAAATGCAACGAAACTACCACCATTTGACTGAACATGTAACACAATCACATAAACTTTTAAGAAAAATCAACCTAAGGCTCATCGATAATGTTTTGAGGTATGGTGACTCAACATTGACATGTTTCAAAACATTAACACAATTCCAATGGGCAGTACAATATGGGATCGACTTTGGCCTATTGGTTGATTTCTTGAAAGTGTGTGTGATCGAAGTTTGCGTATGAACTTGTACTAATAATATAGTTAGCTTTTGCCAAATAAAGAAAAATTGTCATTGCTGAGTTACAAGCAAACCAACATGGCGCGGCATATATGAGAGAAATGTCGTTTCGAGACGTATTGTAAAACAGCCTCTGAGGAATACTTCAATAAGCTCTGCTTCTAGATAGTTCCTCTTTTTTCGTGCCATTACTATTATATGCGTCTTGTTTCGTTGTATATTTGTTGTAATATACTTATTCCTTGTATTATGTTTTTCATGAAAAATAAAATCATTTGAATCTTGAATCTTGAATCTAAATATAAGATCGTTGATTTGTAAAGGAATGGATATCTCAAGATGCAAATATTATTAAAAATCTGGGCATGTCCCAACTCAAAGTTACATGGCTAAATCTGTCATTGTGGCGTTTTATAGATCTTCCGCAATTTTTGCTACTCTTTCCTTTTTTATTTTGTCAATACAATAAATCATTTCACGAAATATAGCACCCAAATGACTTCATATATGATTTGTAATCAATGTAAAAGGAAACATATCATACAGACAACAATTGGATGATGATAGGTACTTTACAATGATCTCAGTATTGCATTTTGTAAAAGTTGTCATTGTTTCGTCACAATCATCAACTCTACATTTACATCTACTGTACTTTCAAAAGGTATGCACCTTTCCCACACTCACATGTGCGTGTGTTTGTGTGTTGAAGGAGGATAGTCTATACATAACAAAAGTACTGTGTTTCTACGAAATAAAGGCAGCCCTATAAAAGAAAGGTAGGGTTCATACTATGCTGTTCAATTACGTGTGAGTAAAACTTTCTGAAAGAATAGGACTTATTTAGCATTCTCAACAAAAAAGAGTAATGTAATAATAATAAGCCACAACGAAGAAGTAGGAGAGAAAAAACAGAATGATGATGATGTTGATGAAGATAGTAGTAATAATAATAATAATAACAATATAATAATAATAATGATAATAATAATAACAATGATTATGGCACAGGTGATTACGATGACGATAGTAATATTGGTACTACTACTACTAATAATAATAATGATAATAATGATGGTAATAGTAGCTATGATTATATGTAATAACAATGATAATGACTTCTTTCCTGACTTAAAGGTAAAGACCAGTTATGGTCATGCCATTGCATTGTTAAAGAAACGTTGTGGAATTGATCAGAAAAGGTTGATCATCTAGCATCTAGCATCTGCAAGGTTCTGGAATCATCAAAATGATAAGAAATTTGGCCCATTCTTCGTAAAGTAACAAGCACTATACGGAGAAAGATGTATATATGGGACTACCCTATATCTCTCACAGACCATGAGAGAAACAAATTTACCAAATATATGAATTATTAGGCGGTTTCCCGGCAATTTTTTTATCATCATGTATTAGTCAAAACATATTCTTTCACATAATTGGTAATGAGAGCTTCCATTTAATTTTTTGAAACTGGGGCGTTTCCAATACTGGTCTTTACCTTTAAAATTCTAAGTTAGGACGATGAAATAAGTTTCACATTTCATCGATATTTGGGCAGCCGGAAGCTTTAACAAAAAGTCTATACATATTTATAGGCAGTCATGTAAACTTGTTGCCGATTTGCAAGTCATCATTTCCGGTCCACGTATGAAACAAGTGAAGATAAAAGAAGAACACAAATTGTCCCCAATTTCATGACACTAGCACCGTTCTTGCATATAAGCAGAAAAACCGATGTGCAAAACAATATTGCGAACCTTGAATACCCTTTCACACAAACACACACCCACACACACGCTAAAACGATTTCCATTGGTGTGCAGATGTATGTGACTGTGTAAACAAATATGCATTTCATTCCCCTGACTGTGTCAATAATGCAAACAAAAGAGAGATGATAAATCATTATGTTTGGATCAGCTGCGGTCTGCTGTTTGTTGAAAGTCAGCTTATTGTCATTTTGTAATACCTTCCTTGTTTACCCTTCGTTTGTTTGAAGCCAGAAGGGCGTTAAGTCTGCTTTAAAGTACTGGGGCTAATGCCCTTGCCCTTTTGACTCCGAAGAGTAAATACTGTCTGATGCAAGCAAACCCGTACCGAAGTCCTGTTTTGAGGTTAAAATTAGCGATGACTTGTTGCTTCCTCAAGTGAAGTCATCCAAATTCACCTTTCTAAAAACCTGTTTATCAAAAACATCCTATATGCATTGCCTCATATATAATCTTAACAGAAAAGAGGAGTGGGTGTTTTTGTACTATTTTAACGACAACAAAATAATGGTACAAACATTTAAGTTCATTCATACCTCACTTTCCCGATCGACGAGCATCTATTAAGTGGGATAGAAAGAAACTGAGAACATTCACAGGACATAGCCTGAATCACCAAACACGATGGCGAATTTCATCAAGTTATCTATAATATTTCTTGTATTAGTTTCATCAGCCTGGGGTGAGTTGAATAGAATCAAACCTGTCTTGGTGGCTACCTCTCTATTAAGGTCACCTGTGTATAGTAGCCATGTCTTTCCTCTCCCTCGAGAAAGAAGTGGGTTGAAGAACCTGTATTTAGAGGCCACCTGCCTACAGTGGCCACTTTATATCTCGAAATCATTTTGTATGGAAATAGACATATTTGTAAGATAGTATAAATTGAAAAGGGTCATTCAGTTTCTGTGATAATACTAGAAACTGTTGAATTTATTATCGTATGATTAGTAGGATCTCAAATTGGGAAACTCCGAAGTCAGGAGGTTTATATTTCATCAAAGACTTGTATTCTTTATCCTTGCTGATTATTAAAAGGCAGAGGGAATTATATATGTAGGTAAAAATATGCATACATTTTATAACGGCTTTTGATTAAAAAATATCATATTATGATTATCTCAAATCAACGAACCAAATTTTCATTCAAGGAGGTAAATGTTATTCTCAAGTTTCAACGATACCATAAACATACCTACTGGGTATCATGGTATCTAATATGCATCTTCAAGAGTATATTTTCATTAATAGTATTGATAATATCGCATATAATAATAATAATAATAATAATAATAATAATAATAGACTAATAGTCCACTCCAAATTTTATTAAACCGAAACGGAAATTCTCTTTGCCCAATTGATCGTGAGCCCGGCAGCCACTGAGCAGCGCCAGATCGACGTTGCTCTATCCCTTAGTGTTGAACGCCAAAACAAGGGTAGCAACAACTCCCATCTTTTAACGTCTTTTGGTATGACGCGGTCGGGGTTCGAACCCACGACCTCCCGGTTGTGAGGCGGACGCTCTACTGACTGAGCCAACACTCCGGTATTGTCCATATGCGCATATATGTCCATATGAGCTCATTGCGCTGTGATAGAGAGGAGGAAAGCAAAGAATTGAGAAGAGCGAGATATACTTCCTTAAGTCAAGATGAAAAATGGAAATTATTTCTAAAAAGAAACGTTTTAGGACGTGTTTTAAAGAGAGGTACATATTGTACCCCCGAGGCAGCAGCTTGGGTGTGCGTACTTTCTAAAGATTTGCAATATCTTCGTGTATTTCAACTGTTCTACCCTGCGATTCGGCAAGAGTTGTGAATTCTAGCCTTCACAAGTATTGTTTGAGCCAGGTAAATTCCTTAGTCTGGCACCCAGTCCAAGAGATTATTTTAATCTTGTCTTTAATGAAACGAAATTGACTAAAGGTTTTTCGATTTGTTTTCGTTTTTAATACACTTGAACTCGTGAAAGAATGGCGGGGGTGGGGGTGGGTGGTCACTTGTGTCCGCCATATAACAGTTATCTTTACGATGTTTGTGTCGATTTTAGGAAGAAGTATTGTACATGGACTAATGCGAGATAGGAGGAGTGACTCTAGTTCTTCTGAATCAAGCTCATCTGAGGAGAGACCCCTACCACCTGCACCACCAACACCATCAATAACCACAACAACAACACCAGCAACAACAACAACGATGTTGACCGTCACAACTGGCTCTTGTGCAGCGACCACTACCACCACAGTTCTTCCGACCGTTTCTTCAACAGTGACATTCTCACCGACCACAGCCACGCCAACTACCATAACAACGCCAACAGCTTCCACACCTCAAACTGCGTCTACAACAACGGAAATGCCCACAAATGAACCAACCACTGCAACATCGGAAATGTCCACAACTGAATGTCCTAATCCTCGCCCGGAACAAGGATGTCTACCATAGTGTGTTACCACAACAGAAACACCTACATCATCAAATGAATCGCCAACAGGTGTTTGTGGCTGACTCGGAAACCATGCTCGAGAGTCGTCATTTCAACCCTTCCATAGATATTGAAATTGGGATTTTGTTGTTGTTGAGTGGAAATAGGAAATGTCAGTATTTTGTTTATTTATTTTGTGTAAGACAAATTATTTAGATATTTTAACCGTACGATACAAACGAAAAGAAAGAAGTTGCCTTTACTTTTCCTATTGTATTTCTACAATGCTACATATTGCTGAGAATGATATTCAAATTCAACTCCGAAAACAGTAAACAGTATAAGCCTTTCATCCCGCAGTTAATATGTGTCAATATTTGGTTATGTCATGCCTGTAACAATTTGATCACTATGGTAATAAATTTGCAATACACACAAAACCGCTTACTGTCTAACCTTTTTCACGCCCCGCAATACTCAAGGGAAATATATTCAGCATACATGCATATTATTTGACAGTTCTATTTGTTGTAGAATAACTATTCGATTGTTTAGTCGGAATTGTTTAAAAACCAAATTTTAGATCCGTCATATTCCCTCATTTAAACCTGTGAGTCTTTCTCTTAAAATGGCGGTAGACGGGATAGGGGTGTTTAGATATTGAAAATAGGATATCGATAAGTCTTCCTTCAATTTGACTAATAAATGTATATACGGTCAACGGGTAAATTATTCATACCCCTAGTAAATTTGATGTTCGTTTTTTCGTAAATCAAGAATGAGAGGTTAACTGGTTGAATTAGGGTCTTTGTTGGATATTCTTAGACGTATACTTTAGTATGTCAAATTCTCAAGAGACATACGTCGGGAAACATCGATTTTTCAAATTCTTTTAAAATTACAAAACCTGGAAGGGTATGCATCATTTAGTTGTAACATTGAGACGTGATAAAGTTACCGGCATCAAATAAAGCTTTACCAAATACTAAAACGTATTTGTGCATGCACTGATTTATTGACTTGTTCATATTTTGTGGTTTAATTGATACACTGTCTATGTTTAATAATGGGGATTCATTTTTCTACCATTTTTGCTGCAATACAAGAAGAATTTCATTCCAAAAGGTATCAAATCCACTTTGAGCGTTTGAGGTTAAATCGAGATATAAAGTAGGAAAATGGTTTGCGGACCAGACAGTAATGAAAGTTGGCTCATTGTTTGTTTAATTGTTTTCCTAGAAATAAAACTAGGAAACGGTCGACACTGCAACACTTTTAAGTATCTGTATGAAAGTTTGTTTGTGGTATGGAGATGCGTGTATGTCAGATTTGTTAAAATGTATTAAAAAACTGTGGGAGTTTGACTTAAACATAGGAATGATTCCCTCTCCAAGGAGGCGCGATAGCTCAATCGGTAGAGCAGTGGTCTCGTAATCCGGTGACCCGGGTTCGAAACCAGGTCGATGCGCTAGTGCCTTTTGGCATTACCATTACCTCATTACCAGGTGCCTCGGAGAGGACCTTGGTCTTCTGGTTGCTTACTAACAAGCATTTATTGCTTTCTTAGCTGTCAGGTAAAATAACCACCCTTTCCATCGCAGGCAATCGTCGACATTGTATATCGCCCCTCTGGAGAAAAAAATATCGAGAGAGTAACTGTATTTTACAGAGTTAGGGTATACAAGGTCTCCAATGAACCACAGCTTATGACCCGGGTCACCTTTAAACTACGATAAAAACAAAAAACATCAATCAAGAAGAAACCTATGTACACAATACTTACTTCATTTTGTTTTCTTTATTTTTTTTTTATCGTAATCTTTATACCGCGATTCCATTTCACATAAATTATATCTCACTTGAATATGTGAATCATAAAATCATTATATAGAAATAAATGTACTACACATACACAAATCCACACATACACACACAAACACACACACCACAACACACACACACAAACGCACACACACACACACACAAATACACACAAAACGTGCCAAATAGGGATATATATCTTTAACTATCTTTAACTCTAGGGAGTTAGTTAAAGAATTACTTTGAAGAGGGTAATACTATCATTTCAGCCATCCTCTTTATTGTCCTTATATTTTACATATGATTTCAAATATTTGTCCATTCTTCTTAATAAATATGTTCATCTATTTCATAAGATTTGTTTCGGGGTGTCATATTTTCAAGCTTAATACAATGGCAGTCCTTCTTCCGCTAATAATTATATAAAGTTTGATGAAATAAGATAATCTGACAATTTATCGCATACTTTGTCTATAAAATATAAAAAAATGTTTATTTGCTTATTCATGATAAATTGTCAGAATTTTTTTTTTTTTTTTATGTTACCGAGAATCGCTCATATTTATATGGTATGCAGAAGAAAGCAAATCAAATCAAATCAAGGCATATACAGAGTATCGGACCGACTTTACCCACGGTTTATAGACCCGGGCTAAAATAAATATGCTCTCATGAACAACGAACTTGTATTTCACAGAAATAAATGAATCCCAAAAAACAATAAGCCAGTTTACTAAGTTGCAGTCTGAGTATGAGCAGATAAAGGTCATTGCTGACCAAATTGTGAAATACACGGAGACAAAATACTGGATCCGTGCTCATGAAAGTCTTGCAATCATTATTCATGAATGCACAAGCAGTGCACTCAATGATACACAGGTGCAAGAATTCTTCGAAAAAGGAAAACAAAGGCTATTTATGTAGCTTCTCCATCGATGTAGGAGTGATTATTTCAAAATGTAAAAAGTGGGACCTCTTCATGTTTTGAAGATCTGTGGATATTCGGGGTCATTCGGAACATGGGTTAATTAACCGTGAAATTGTCTATTTACTTCAGCACAGACAAATTTAACCACGAGGGAGATCACATTTCTGTAAACCCTAACAAATAAAAGAGAATGTGCCAGAATCATGGACAATCGATGTCATTTTGTGAAGCACTTTTGGTTATAATTGTATACGCACTTCATATTTGCATCAACCGTTTATTTGCATTTGATTTCATCATTAAATAAACCGTGCTGGGCAATGTTGGTATGAGGAATCCGCACTCAATAAGGTCTCGTATTAGAAAAGTCAGGTTGTTTTGTAAAGGTGGATTAAAATAATACTCAACTAGACAGAACAGTATTACAATTTATTAGTCCCGACTTGGAGGAAAGGCTACTTTGAATTTCAAAACAGAGGTAAGTTAAGTACCGTGTCTGTCAATTGTTTAACACTTTTGTGTGCGTGGTTGGGTAATTGGGTGAGACCCTCTTTGCTTGTGTATTTGTTTGCTTGTTTGTTTATCCGTTTGTTTGTTTATTCGAGTGTTTTTGTTTATTGCTATTATTTCAAATGAGCAATTTCCTCAAAGTATAAATGGTGAAAGTTTAGTTTCAAAGTAAAAGGCAAAAGCCTTGACACAGATTTTTATATTTTTAAAATATTCATTATCTATTATCTATTATTTTTCATTTACTATCTATTATTGTTTACTCATCTTCGAATTCTGGTACATGGTTGATTTTGAAGTATATATATATATATATAACTAAAATTATGCAATAAGTGCACAATGGGAATCATTATATCCTTCTGGTTATCTTTCGCCCTGTACTGGTACAATAAGCGAGTTCACGGTTGGAGTCTGAGCATGAGCAGATAAAGGTCATTGCAGAACAAATTTTGAAATACACGGAGACTAAATACTGGATACGTGCTCATGAAAGTTATGTAACATTATGCATTCATGCACATTCAGTGCACTTCATGATACACAGGTGGAAGTATTCTTTGAAAAGAGGAAACAAATGCTATTTATATAGCCCCTCCATCGCTGTAGGAGTGATTATTTCAAAATGTACAAAGTGGGACCTTTTCATGTTTTGAAGATCTGTGGATATTCGGGGTCATTGCAGTAATGTGCTAACCGTGAACTGGTCTATTATTATGCACATAATTGAGCAACAGACTAGTTCACGGTTTAATTATACCGCATGTCCCAAATGACCCCGAATATCCACAGATCTTCAAAACATGAAGAGGTCCCACTTTGATCATGTTGAAGTAATCACTCCTACAATAATGGAGGTGCTACATGAATAGCCTTTGTTCCCCATTTTCAAAGAATACTTTCACCTTTGTGCATAAATGAATAATGATTATATAACTTTCATGAGCACGTATCCAGTATTTTGTCTCCGTGTATTTCATAATTTGGTCGGCGGAAATTACCTTTACATGCTCATGCTCAGACTGCAACCGTGAACTGGCAGCGGGGTAAAAGTAAACAATGACATCATGTTATAAAGTGAAAATGTTGAACTCTGTTTTAATCAGTTCTTTGTGTTATGTTGACGATTATCAAATATTGTGTTCTTTTCCCAATGTCATCCATGCTGACATCAACCTAACTGTTTGTACTCTGTGTTTACATTGGTTAATCACCCTTGAATATGATGGAAAAAAGCATTCATGAAGCATTTCCTGGTGGCAATATTGTTATGAAACTTTCTGTTTTACGCTTGGAAATGGAATATATGCTTGAAAAAAAACGGTGCTTTGTAGTTTAACGGTTACCTCATTCCTTGAGTTGAGTTTAGTTCAGCTTACTTTTATATTTCGTATTTACACATTACACAGTGTCAGTTTTTTGGGTAACTCAAAATATACATGATACAAATAATACATACAATTAACAACTAAATTATTTATACCCTTACCAATTTTATTTTTATTTGCGTCAAATGCAAATGAATAATCAGCATAATTGATCACGAAGAATGCATGAATGCAAATCGGTAAAGTCTGGAGTAATGCAAAGAAAAACGTAACATATCAATAATGATGATGATAATCGTCACGTGATTGTATAATCTACCGTGGAATGCCTTACAGCTACTACACGTAAGAGAGTAATATTCTTTAGCGTGTGTGTGTGTGTGTGTGTGTGTATGTGCGTGTGCGTACGTGTGTGAGCGTGTGTGTTTGTTGAATTGTTTCTATATAAAGTCGTTTGTCTTTTTATAAAGCCTTCAGCGAGTTTATGTTCATATTCAAACAGTTTCTTTTCCCTTTAAAAACATGAACAAGGATGGCAGACTATTTGTCATGTTCCTTTGTTTGTTTGTTTGTTTGTTTTGTCTTTATTATGTAATCAGTGACGCAGTATCAAACACATGCAATACATAAATTACGCTATGACAAAAATATTGAATTCAAAGGGAAAATAGCTACATGGGTATCAATTCAATGATGACATTTTATTTTCTACTTGATCGTGACATGTAAAATTATGGTGAACTACTGTTTTAATCAAATACAAATGATTGTATACAACCTCTATGTATTCACTACGGATGTTGAATTTTCATGAAGCACATATTATTCGTGATCAATGAACCATTTAACACGACATCAAATATTTGTTAACGAGGAAGGTCATGTTGAATTTGTTCTTTTTTTCAATTTTTCCTTTTCTATCACCTGACGTAGATGGCGCTCGTCAAGTTAACAACTTTCCTACTCTTGACCTGTTATATCGTTGTATTGGTCGCAGCAAAACAAGGTAAGCCTTACAAATTATTTCAAAAGTATTAATCATCTCATGTTTGAAACATTCTGTTTTTTTATGGATTTGACTAGTTTTGGAGGTATTATATACAACATTCCCATCCATTGTCACGGAGCAGGTGGTGACATGCTCCAGGTAATAATAATAATAATAGTTCACATTTGTAAAAAAGCTTTTAAAACATTTTCTCAGCACATCAAAGTTAATTAATAAATATATATATACAAACATATTTGGAATTGATCTGTTTATTTACTTCTAATCTTTCGCAGCAGCTCAGTCTTGATACCCAACACTCTGTCGCGCAAGCTGTTTCAATTGTTTCAGAATAGCAATAATCACTAAGTTAAATCTTGGATTTTGGGAGACATAATATACACAGAATATTTAAAAAGTCATCGAGAAGACATTCCTGTGTTTATCAAAAAAAGTTCAATACACTTTGGGTATCTTGATGGTAACGTGAGCTTCGAAATTCTACAATCATATAAAGAAACATACACGTACAAACTTACAACAATATTTACAACAAAAACGTAACACAGTCGCTAATTAAGAAAAAAATAAGTTGTATTGGAAATTTTAGAAGCCTTGTGTGACATATTTTGAAATTTGCATAATTCAATGAACTATATATTATCCGTACGATCATGATTTCTAATAATTAAGCAATTCAAATCTCCCTCAAGTTAATTTCTCGAAATTCTTTGTGCTCATGTCTTTCATTATTCATCTTTATCTCTATCCAGGAAATATTAAGGTTGTACCCTTGCTACAAAAGAAAGGTCGGGATGCTAGGAGTAGCAGCGATAGTGGCATCGATAGTGGTAGCGATAGTGGTAGCAATGGTAGCAGCGATAGTGGTAGCGAAAGTGGCAGCGATAGTGGCGACAACGGCGGCAGTTCTTCTGAAGAGGGTAAGCCGCCGCCGCCACGTCGCACACCTACAACTTTACCTGCCACAACAACACGGTCGACCACTACTGCTGCTGCTCCAACAACGCCTGAATCTACTACGGTGTACACGACAACGTTGACAACCATTCGTACCACAATGCCATCCACTACTACAACATTACCGTCTACGACAGATACAACAACCGCAACTGATGCCTCTACAACTGCATTAATTTCTACGACATTGACGTCTACAACAGCTACGACAGAAGTATTAACCACAAATGGTACAACAGGTGGTATACTTACCACTATGTCTACCAATTCAACAACGTCCACGGAAGCGCCTACAACAACCACTAGGAACCCTGAATGTGGCCGTGGGGATAATCCACCGTGCCCGACTACTGTGTCTACCAATTCAACAACGTCCACGGAAGCGCCTACAACAACCACTAGGAACCGTGAATGTGGCCGTGGGGATAATATACCGTGCACGACTACCGTTACGGAAACTCTTACCACATCATTGGCAAGAATATCTGTGGCAAGGTTAGCTTGTGAGCGCGAGGACACCCCGCCCTGTTCAGCACAAGCAAGGAGAACCAGAGAAATAATGCCGTGTGAACGGGAGGATACACCACCATGTTAAAAACGACACCTTCAGTAGGCTTCGTTCAGACACGACGCAATCGAGGTCAAATAGTTTAGCTTGTGAACGCGGTGACACCCCGTCCTGGTCAGCAATAACACGTAGGGTCACAGAAAGGATACCGTGTGAACGAGAGGACACTCCACCGTGTTAAAACTCATATCTTGATTAATACCACGTTCAGATACGATGCTGTATAAAGAGAGGGGAAAACATTAAGTAATTGCCCATCATCATACCGCATGTATAACCACATGTCCTATCTTTCTTGTAATTTATTTATTATCTAATGTACATAATTATTGCAGTTTCATTAATGTTACTTAATTATTTTATTTACATTATCATTTTTCATTATCATGTTATTGTTATACATTGTTAGTTAAGTAATTCTTCCAAATTAAGCGCAATGTTCATTTCACGTTTCTTGTTGATCCTTATTACATATTTAGTTTAACCGTACTTTTCATTTCATTTGTTTTGTAAAGCGCTAAGAAACTGTATTTGTAGTACCAGCGCTATATAAATCATAAATATTATTATCATTAATATTAACATATAAAAGCACTGACACCCACACCCTACCCAGTAACAACATAGTGAATTAAGTTTCCTTTAAACGCAGTAAACGGCCTTTAAAAAAAAAAGAAAAAAAAAGGCGAAAACAAACAAACAATATACTTCGAATATCTGCAGCAAACTATTTCAAGCTTAATTCAAGCCTTCTTTCTCTAAAATTTTGTACACACACTAACACACAGTGACAAATTCTTTTTATATTTACTGCGTATCTACGTGTGTAGTTTGTAATTCATTAAAGATGAAGTTGAGTTCTGGTCATGCGATTGCATTCTGAAAGAAACGGTGTGGAATCGACCAGAAAAGGTTGATCATCTAGCATATAAGCATTTGTGTGTATTGCAAGGTTCTTGAATCATCAAAATGATAAGAAATTTGGCCAAGTCTTGGTAAAGTTACAAACACTGTACACAGAAAGATGTATATGGGACTATACGAACACGTGGCGTAAAAATCCTACCCCCGAGTTTTACGATGTTACATGACTTATTTAGAATATAAAGGCATTTAAAGAGCCATGCTTTTCAGGGAACATGTCTTATCTGATGTTCTTCTACACTTGCATAATAAGAATGATAACGCTCACAAAATATTTTAACCTCTTCCCAGAACTCAACTTTCTCTTTAAGTTTACTTCATTTTTCATTTTTTAAGACATATTATTCATGTATTCATTTTCATTTAATTTTCGTCCTTATTTTTAGGTGATTTCCCAGTTTCTTGTTATTATTTTTAGTTTAATGATTCAACTTCCCATGCAGGAATCTTCCTTAATTTAGCGTATTAATTTCAGATTGGTCTATTTTTCATGCTCGTGCTAATGTTATCCGACGATGATTCTATAGGCCTTAATTCACTTAACTAAGATAAGGAAGTGGCACTGAGATGCACTGAGAATAAAAAAATAGATTAACCGGAAGTCAATGGAATTATAATACTGTTCTGTTTTATAATATTTTACACCATGTTGAACAACAGGCCACATGCCTCTGCCTCGGGTGGTATCGGTTTTCCATGTAGACAGCTATTTTGCTTAATGCCCCTTAAAGCCCCACTGTACTACTTATAGCTGCTTGCGCCCTCTATATAGCAAACAATGCCTAATCGGTGACCATTGGTCCCCCATGATCCTCTTTTTCTTGTGTTAATTGAGAGCTGAATTGATGACATAACAACCTGTCAGTGACCGGGCCAAACTAGTACAGTGGGGCTTTAAAGCCATGGTATTCTACTGACACTACTTCAGATTTACGGTACCTGCTTAAAGGTAAAGACCAGTTATGGTGATGCGATTGCATTGTGAAAGAAACGTTGTGGAATTGATCAGAAAAGGTTGATCATCTAGCATCTAGCATCTGCAAGGTTCTGGAATCGTCAAAATGATAAGAAATTTGGCCCATTCTTCGTAAAGTTACAAGCACTATACACAGAAAGATGTATATGGGACTACCCTATATCTCTCACAGACCATGAGAGAAACAAATTTACCAAATATATGAATTAGTAGGCGGTTTCCCGGCAAATTTTTTATCATCATGTATTAGTCAAAACATATTCTTTCACATGATTGGTAATGAGAGCTTCCATTTCATTTTTTGAAATTGGGGCGTTTCCAATACTGGTCTTTACCTTTAAAATTATGATGAATTAGACTGCTTAATATTTTATGTTCACAAAATGCGTAGCGCGTAGACTATTATTGTCACAATACACACTGATGTTTTTTTACCGTATAATTCCATTTAGATAAACTAGAAATGAAATTATTTTCGCTGTTGTTTTATTAAAAACCAACTCATTGTTCAGAATATTTACAATTTAGTTGTATTCATGACTTTAAAAGGGAAATCCATAGCATTTCCCCCCATAAAATTTCAGAATAGGATAACGACAACTTTTGAAAAATCAACCTACGGAAATCACATTTAGAAACGTTGTAAAATCAAAATTACACGAGTCATAAGGATTTTTGTGAGCTGAAGCCATTAATATTCATGATTTAATATGTTTCCTGCTGAGAAACTCACTCACTTTTTAATTTAAAAAACAATTGTGAAAAGCATTGGATTCAGTTTCTCTTTGAATGTCCTGAACCCAAGGTCTGAGCGTGTCTCTTCACGATTGATCGAGATTATTCTGATGAGTTGATAATGATTTTATTCTCATGCCTTGTCTTCAAAATTTCATGAAATAATGAGTGTTTGAATTTGGCGAGTTTCCAACATTGTACACTCAATGACTGTTGCGTGATACTATGGCATGACATCGTCGACATCCATAAGACAAAGAATTTTTTTTGGGGGGTTTTTGTTATTCCTTTATCTTTTCATTTAATCTATATACAGAGCACTGCTCATCGTAACCAATCTTTGTTCTCACTTTGTTTTCTTTTGTTTCGTTTTGTGTTGTTTTGTTTTGCTTTGTTTTGCTTTGTTTTGTTTTGTTTTGTTTAGTTTTGCTTTGTTTTGTTTCGTTTCGTTTCGTTTTGTTTTGTTTTGAGACATCATGACGATTCATACCCAGAAACTGGATAGGGTGAAATATGTTCGATGATGGGGAAATTGGGGCTTAAGTTCAATGACCTTTAGTATTAGATAAGCATCGTCTTATCCATCCAAATGTCCTATTTCCCGGATGTCTGTAACTTCGCTAAGAGGGGGCGGGGGAGGAAACTTTGTAGCAGCCTCCCTAGCCTCCAGCCCCTCTCCCCCTCCAAATGAATTGCCAAATAATTTCAAATTGCCATATCCCATCTTTCAAACGCCATTGCGCTGGAACGAGTCTGACATTTTGAAACTTGAGAATAAAAAAAACGCTGTGACCACTGGAGTTTAATTGTCAACCCAAATGTCAAAATTTTCTACAGTTTAATTGTTTTTACAGTTTTCAGTATAGGAATGGAGTACTTTGTATACCGCTGACTCGCCATCGCAATAATCAAGATTTTAATGAACGCATTTGAAATTAAATTTTGCATAAGTACCTTTGTTGTTTCATGCATCTTTCATGGGTTTATTTATCCATAGTTGTCATTAAACTAATGAACTGTAAAACAAAAGGTTCATCATGATCATGAACCATGTGAGTTAGGTTTTACCAATGCTTAAAGAAATGAAAAATACAACATTTAAAATTCTATATTCGAACGTATGAAATGCACTAATCTAAAGTTGATTTTCCCTTTAAAAATGTGGCGAGTTCCCTGCCAAGCGTTATAATCCAAAAGATTAACTTACTAGTCTAACTCGAATTTCCCTCTAAATCATAAAAATTCATCATTATCCGAAAAAATCAGAAAAAGTCAACCTTGAACAATAGCTTACCGAGTTGCTGTCTTTTTAAGCCTCTTTCAAGCAAAAAGGGAGGGAAACGAGGAGGAAATATTAATTTGACATGAGTGAAAATTTGCAACTGCAGTAGCAATTCTTGGTCAGTAGTCCTCTTTGCGTTCGGTGATAATGCGTTGTGATCGCCACAGACAACTTGATCATCAATCTTGGGACAACTTATTCCGTGACGACATCCGTTTCTTGTTATAGACTGCTTATCATAACTTCGTCTTAATTTTCGGCGACTTTTCTATACAGTCAACGCGTATGACGTGCAGCAAAATGATTTATTGAAGTGATATTATCACTGTTTTTGGTTCACATTTCTTCGACAATAATCGGATATTTATTTTCGATTTATTCAACGGATCTAACGGCCGAATTGATTACCGCTGTGTTTCATGAAGGCAAGCATTGCAATGTAAGCAGATCATTGATAACGCGTTGAAAAGCAAGCTTCGCCAAAATGATCTTCGGAATGCACTTGAATATTATTTGACTATTCAGAGATGCCATGTTTTATATTCCCAGTATTCACTACAAATGATACGAACAGTGATGTTGCAGAGATCGGATTAGATTAACATTAAAAAAGGTAAGACACAATTCATTCTTTTCTTTCCAAGTTTACAAATGTCTTGTTCCGTTTATTTGTAGGCCTACAAGTAGCTCATAACATGTTGCTCATCGAATTAAAAATGTTTTTCATACGATATTCAGAAACAAAACAAAACAAACAAGGAAACACACAAACACAAATCCATTGTGTCACCGCAATCTTGCACTTGTGTTTCATCGCCAATATATATATATATATACAAGTCTTAATTCTATTTTACATCATATTATTTGCATGCATTTAATATATATATATATTGCAGTTGAAAATTCAAGATGCATCGGCATTTTAGTGACTTTGAATTTTATGACAAAAAAACATGTAATTTAATTTCAATTCATTTCTTACAAAGGCCTATGTGGATTCTTATTAGCTGTGCAAATTTCACTTGATTTTTATCACTTATATATATATTATGTGGTTACCTATTGACAACTACCACTAATCATGCAAATAATCTCTGTTGGATTTGGGTGTTTTTTCTCTCGCTAATATACCCACAGTAATTCCACAATAACCACAATATGATTAGGCTCGTTGAAAATAGGGGGTGTAAGGTATGTACCCTTGTGCTACCCCCTCGCCCTCTCACCCCTCCCTCTCTCTCTCTCTCTCTCTCTCTAATTCTCTCTCTTGCTGTCTGACACACTCTCTCTCTCTCATTCTCACTCTTGCTCTCTCTCTCTCTCTCTCTCTCTCTCTCTCTATCTATCTCCCTCCCTCTCTCTTGTTCAGTCTATTTGTCTGCCTTGCCTGGCTCAGTCTCTCTGTTGGTCTCTCTCTCTCTCTCTCTCTGCCCTCATCTCTCCTCTCCTTTGTCTCTTGATCTCTACACGTAGGCTTTGGTTATTCACTGGAAAGGGGAGGTTTATACTATTATGGCTTTTAAATAATCTCGTTTGTATGTGTTTTAAGGGGTGCTGGTTTAGTTGTTTCTTTCTTTATCTCTCTTCTTTTCTTTCTTTCTTCCTTTCTTTCTCTCTCTCTCTCTCTCTCCCTTTCTCTTTCTCTTTCTCTCTCCCTTCCTCTTTCTATTTCTATTTCTCTCTCTTTCTCTCTCTCTCTTTCTCGCTTCTTCTTCTTCTTCTTCTGTATTTTTGTATTTTCCCCTTTCATGCCCAATATACAGAGGAACACGATGACAAATGACTGATAAAATCAGTCGGAATGAAGTGATGATTTTGATTTTTGAGTGACCAGCTGTCAAGCAAATTTCCAAATATCACGCAAAGCAGTCAGATTGAAAATATGGCTACGATGGTTTTTCATGGTATTTAGTAATGCCCTCGGAGGCTCAGATTATCATCTCAATTCGTCATAACAAAATGATTTTCTTGTTTTTCCGCAGATGAACCTTGGGTTTCTGATTATCATCGTACTTAATATCTCAGCTCTGCTCCATACTGAAATGGTAAATGGTACGTATACAGGCCAGACCAGTGCTCGTAATTCCTCCTCCTCCTTTCCTAGCTCCTCCTCAGCCTTCCCTCCAACTCCTCCTCCCATTCTAATACAGCCTGCTCATTTTCCTTCTTTAATCGCCTCCTATACTATTTATCTCCCCCCTCACCCGCAATCTCCTTCCTGCTTATATACCCCCCCCCTCCTCCGCATTCTCCTCCTCCGCCTTAATTGTACCCTTCTCTTTAAATACCTCCTTCTCCTCTTTCTTCTCATCTTCCTCCTCCTCCTCTCATCTTCATCATTCTCGTCTTTCGCTTTTTAAGTTATTTCATTATTACCGTTTCAATCTATTCTCCTTTACTTCCTCGTATCCTCCTCCTCCCCTCCTCCTCCTCCCCCTCCTCCTCCTTCTCCTCCTCCTCCTCCCCTCCCCTCCTCCTCCTCCTCCTCCTCCCCCTCCTCCTCCTCCTACTTCTTCTGCTATCCTCCTCCTTCTTCTCCTCCTCCTCCTTCTCCTCCTCCTCCCCTCCTCCTACTTCTTCTGCTGCTGCTCCTCCTCCTCCTCCCCCTCCTCCTCCTCCTACTTCTTCTGCTATCCTCCTCCTTCTTCTCCTCCTCCTTCTCCTCCTCCTCCTCCCCCTCCTCCTACTTCTTCTGCTGCTCCTCCTCCTCCTCCTTCTCCTCCTCTTCCTCCTCCTCATCCTCATCCTCCTCCTTCTTCTCCTCCTCCTCCTTCTCCTCCTCCTTCTCCTCCTCCTTCTCCTCCTCCTCCTCCCCCTCCTCCTACTTCTTCTTCTCCTCCTCCTCCTTCTCCTCCTCCTCCTCCTCCTCTTCCTTCTCTTTTCTTCCTCCTCCTTCTCCCCCTCCTCCTCTTCCTCCTCATCCTCATCCTCCTCCTCCTCCGCCTCATCCTCCTCCTCCTCCGCCTCCTCCTCCTCCTCCTCCTCTTCCTTCTCTTTTCCTCCCCCTCCTCTTCCTCTCCTCCGTATATATTCTCCTCCGCCTCCAAGACTGATTATGATGATGAAAAGGACAGTGGTAAAATAATAAACCGAAAGATTTGTAATCGACTAAGCTTTAATGAGCCTACAAAAAAATATATATATATGTTTGCTGTATATGTTAACGGCTATCAAAATCACTGATTCTCAAATGTTTATCATAATTATAATGTCTTTTACGCTAACACAAACAAGCAACTTTTTAATTGAATATGATTTATAATTAGATCAAACGATGTTCACATTTGCCAACTTTCTCAAATATTGAATGATCAGCGTCAAGAGCTTATTCATCGAAACGACCAAGGTGCCTCATGTTATAACCTTGACGAATCAACACATTACATCTGAGCAGTATAATTATTCATTTAATACATGATTTTCCTGCTGTCCTATTGACTTAACCTTTTTTTCCTTGTGCCGTCCTTCAATAGTCTTGTTTCGGGACAATAAAGATACTTCGTGAAGGGGTGTCGTGGTCGAGTGGTTTAAGCACTTGACTGAGGATGCAAAGGTTGAGGGTTCGAACCCCCGGCCACTCAGTGTTATTTAGGGTACGCATATGCGTGTTCCAACCGACCCCCCCCCCCTTTTCAGCAAAAGTCCGGTGTGTAAAGTCAATACGGCTCGACCTTTTTCTTTTGTATACGAGCCTTTTTCAGCACCCCCCCCCCCCTTTCAGCAAAAGTCCGGTGTGTAAAGTCAATACGGGTCGACCTTTTTCTTTTGTTATGAAAAGGACATTTTGGCAACACGCATGGGGTCCGTCCGTTCTCGGAGTGGGGGGGGGGGGGGGGGGGGGGGGGGGGTTCGAACCACGGCGTGACACTGCAGTCCTTTGATAAAAATGAATCTACATTTGTCACTCTCCACCCAGGAATGGGTACCGGTCGTAAAGGAATTCTTTGAATGCTGACTAGCTAGAGTGCTTTGTGTGGTTGAAATGAGCACTATCATTATTTTTTTTTTAATCCGATACTTCTCTGTTAGTAACAGTATTGTCTCAAATCTTGACAACGAACGAAAGCTAAAGCAATATTTTGTTTGCGAGTATAAACGAGTTGATATATGCGGAACGAATGCGCGGTAAATATGTACTAGTGAGGAGAGAAACATCTTACCAATCGGGTCTCCACCCCCCCCCCCCCCGTGTTTGCAAGTTTCTGTAGCATTTGCATGTATCTCACGACATTCACTTAAAATGGTATAGTAGTCTACCAGATCCAGAATCACTTAAACTCATTTATCATGCTTGTCAGTATACTTGTTTGGGAGCCGGAACTACGTAATTGATAACGTCATGTTGATTTATTAAAGAGGGCGATACACTGTGGGGGTAACTAAATATAAACATTGGCCTTAAACGTGAACATTCTTTTGATTATTAAATATTGGCCGTCGTGTGGAAAATTGATTAATACCCCATACAAGTAAATGAAATTATCTTCCATTTATTAATGAGCACGAGTGCCTAAACAATTCGGACGCGCTTGTTGAAAAATTTCGAGTTTATTTAATTTCCTTCTATTCATGAATAAGCGTTTTTCTCAACGATTCCTGCATTCTGCAAAAATCCCTTTGCTGCATAACCTCTTAATTATTATTTGCCTTTTACTTTTGATATTGTTTTTATTTTAGTAATGTTGTAATCCCCCGATCGTGGTTAATTTACATAGCACAAATTAAATTCTTTACATCTCTGTTTGGAATGAAAACAAACAAATTATCTTTGCCACGTTAAGCAGGCATCAATCTGTAATAATCTGAATTCATAGAAATGTAAAATGGAGTTTTCTTTTCCTTTTCTTTCTGGCAAGTCGAATTAAAACCTTCAGACCATTGTAATTAATTATTATTAATCCAAGTGAACTTGAATTGGTTCCAACTGCCTATCCCGAATGCTTTCATTAATTGCCATTTTTTTTAATATCGATATCTTGTTCTTTTTATCATTCCATTCTGTAAATATATGTTTTAAATGTTTTCATGAATAGTGTTGAATAAACTTTGAATTTGAATTTGAATTATACATAAAACAATCCTCCAATCATACAAATGCGAACATTGTAAGACACATTGTATTCACCCGAATAATAACTCAATAAAAGTGAATTCATTAAATTATAAATTGAGAAGATACACTCACAGTTAACAGCGCCTATATATGTATATTATCCAGTAACCTTCACTTTTTGACTCATTATGTTTAAAAATAATAATAATATGGTTATTATATAGCGCCGGTATCCGTCAGGTTCTGACGCTCACGGAGCTTTACACATATATATTACCCTGGTTATAGCCGAGCTGCCAAAGTAACTAGCGCTCAAGCATATCAGGTATAAACCATTTACACCTGGGTGGAGAGTGGCAAATGTAGATGAACGTCTTGCCAAAGGACATTAGTGCCGCGGCGGGACTTGAACCCCGTACCTTGTGATCTGCAGTCGGGTGACTTATCCACTAGTCCACAACACCTCTAGACTTTCTCTTGTATTGAATCTCGTTGCAGGTACTCCTACAGAAAACAGAATCAGACCGTGGAGCCCCAAGTTCAGTGGGAAGAATTATCGCGGGAGACGCTCCGGGAGCGACAGCGGTAGTAGCAGTAGTGGTAGCAAAAGTGGTAACAATGTATCATCTGAAGAGCGTTTTGAAGGGAGACGACCCGAGAGCGACAGCCGTAGTAGCAGTAGTGGTAGCGGAAGTGGTAACAGTGACTCATCTGAAGAGCGTTTCAAAGGGAAATCTCCTCGACCGACCCCGCCTACCACACCTACCATAACAGTGGCAACATTACCTACAATTACGCCCCTTAGACCCTCAACGGTTGGGACTACTCTTAGGACAACGAGAAGAACAACACAAGTTGTTCCATCAACAAGAGTAACAACAACGATATCCACGACACCACCACCAACAACAACATTCGCATCTACTACCGCGAATCCGACAACGCCCACGACACGAACTTCACCTACAACTTCTACAACAGCTACTACTCCTACGATTGTCACCACCCCTACCATTCCCACAACGCCTACAACGCCCACCAATCCTACTACACCTACCACTCCAACTACGCCGACAACTCCGACAAACCCTACCACTCCGATGACGCCCACAACACCTACGACTCCCACCACTCCTACTACATCTACCACTCCTACAACACCTACCACTCCTACCACACCTACCACTCCTACGACACCAACAACACCTACCACTCCTACAACACCTACGACGCCCACAACACCTACCACTCCTACAACACCTACGACACCAACAACACCTACCACTCCTACAACACCTACGACACCAACAACACCTACCACTCCTACAACACCTACGACACCAACAACACCTACCACTCCTACAACACCTACGACACCAACAACACCTACCACTCCTACAACACCTACGACACCAACAACACCAACCACTCCTACATCGCCTACAACTCCAAGAAGTACTACAAGGTGTACAAGAGGAGATGTCTGCCCAGGGGAATAAAGTGGTGGTTCCTTTACGGAATTGCAAGCAAGAAACTGCTATCATTTTAAGCTTGCTAAAAAAAAAATCATGCGCAGCGACATTTTTGTACGACAATGCTGTATATGCTTACATATTTTGTGATGTTTTCATGCATCTACTACTGATCTTCGTGATCTATTACCCTTATACTATTTACCATGCTTGGTAGGTGTTGATATATAAAGAGGGATAGGTATTACGTAACTAAACCGGGCCCTTTATTTATTTCGCTCTGTATCCGAGACTAGAGCCCCAGGCCCCTCCCACCAGTATTGTCTTGTTTTATATCGTCCCATTTTCCTCATCTTTTCTTTTCCTTGCATTTTCTACCTTATGATACTATGTTAAGGAACCTACATTACAAGCTATGCTTTCACAGGTTTCCTCCGCAATACAGCAAACAATTATCTTCTTAGTCTCAATTGTATACTTTTACTGCATTGCACGAACCATATCATGTATATTTCTCGTTTGTATATATTTTTTATTGGAATGACTTTGAAAAACGAAAAGCTTTGTAAATTTAGTTTGCTGTTATTGTGGAAATAAATGAAATGTGCAGCTGCAAATTGTTAATTATCAAATTTCTATATCGTGTAAATCGAATGACAATTTTATATCGTCATTGGAACTTGTAAGTCGTATTTAAATATACACAATATTTGTGAAGTGTTCTATATATTTTAATGTGTTATCAATGCAATGTTATGCCATGTACTTTTTAGTCTGTAAATTGAACAATTTCAGCTTTTAGCTGCATGTCCGATGATTTTTATCTCAATAAACCAATACAATACTAACTACAATTATGTATAACAATGACATTTCTCGTGATGCATTTTGTATCCAATAATAGTCTTTTTTTAAATTCTTGTCACTGGAATACAAATAGATTATAAAAAAGAATTAAGGGTAAACTTGTCACTGTTCGAAAGATGATGGAACAATTTTGTCTACAATTTGACATTTTTCGAAATGACTACAGGGCCATGGCCTTACTACGTGGGTCCATCCCATTGTTAAAATGCATAATGCGTATACATAATAAAATTGTTAAGAAGATAATGGAAAACAAAAGAATAACGAGGTGATGCCAAGAAAAGAAAGTTATTTTTTCGTATTTACTGTTAACATTCCTCTTTCTTTATTCTGTGCTTTCTAATATCGTCTTAGCATGAACAAAAAAAAAAGAAGATAAGTTTTTTGATTGGCTAAACTTTTTTTAATAAGTTGTATTTGTACTACCAAGACAAAACTGCACCCGTTTTTTTATTGTTCCGAAATAAAAAAAACTTCCCATACCAGGGGGGATCATAATTATGGACATGAAATAGGATTCGAAATCCCAAACATTTCTTGCATTATTTCAAATGTTTATTGTCCTGATGCTTCGTCTATCCGAATAACCACAAATGAAGTTTAATAATTCCATGAATGAAAAAAGGGGTTCATAAGGTTTTCTGAAGATTCTTTTTCATTTTCGGAGTTATGAACCGTCATTCATTTACGCAATTAAGATCATCTGGAATAACGATTATTTTGGAATTATGAATATTAGGAATAATGAATCTTCATTAAGAAAAAATGTAATCAAAGGAACAGTAATTGAAACTAATTTTTCGTCGTCTATGTAAAGTGTTAGTCACTAAAGAAGGAAATGAATACATGCATACTTCAATTTTAAGATCATTTTCCCAAATAATAAGTGTGAACTTCAGTATGATATAACAGCATGCGTGTTATATATTCATTTTAAAATTTGCAATAAAAGGTGTAAAAGAAATGGATAAATCTGTATGTAGTTTACATCGCTTAATCCTTAATTGATTTAGTATTTTACATTTACGGAGTGATACTGATCGATTGAAAGAAGGTGATTGATGAAACTTCACATTTTATTTCCCTCTCACGAAATTCTTCACAAATCATTGTTTTTGACAATGACAATGGATAGGCTATCAAATACAATAAAAAAGGAGACTAGAAAGAGAGAGAGAGAGAGAGAGAGAGAGAGAGAGAGAGAGAGAGAGAGATAGCGCGATCGAGAGAGAGAGAGAGAGAGAGAGAGAGAGAGAGATAGCACGCTCGAGAGAGAGAGAGAGAGAGAGAGAGAGAGAGAGAGAGAGGGGGGGGGGGGCGAAACGGGCGATGTAGGAAGGAAATGTTAATCAATTAAATAATTATTTGATTACGTAATAGACATAAATAACTTTAGCTAATCATGCAGGATTTTCTGGAAAATCTTTGCCATTTGCTAGCAGCACGATTAGCATATAGGCAGCAGCGTCATCAACATCAAAAACATTTTTTTTAATTCCTATGCATTTGTTGGTGCTATTTAAATCCAAAATTCCCTGCCATGCTAAGAAAAAGGGGAAGAAATGTAAACGTAGGACTCACTTTCGGGGGTCTAAAATAGTATGGGCATGCACATTTCTTTGTTGAACTCAATATATGTTTTTACTTTGTGCCAATCCGCCCCCACCAGAATAGAATCTGAAATAATTATTCAAAGGCTGGTCGATTCATATTTCTTTCTACCTGTCAATAATAGTGATATACTGAAGTTCAAAGTTTATTTGATTTATTTTACACCCCCTAGCGTACGACCATGATAGACTGCTGTTCAAAGCTTAGGCCTATACGATTTGTTTCGTATCACCCCCCCCCCCCCTGAAACGCACGCCAAATGTTAGGGGGTTTCCCCATTCCTGTCCCTCTTATCTGCTGATAGAGGGCAGCACATGAAGTGAAACAAAATATCCTGCACAATAAACTGTTGCGATTCACATGACGGCCTACGTTTACTGACACAGCTGCTAGCTGCTGCAGATTTGTTGTGAAAATAATATTCAAAATATACGTTGCAAACTCTCTCAAAAAGCTAAGATGACATCCAAGATGGGAGTGATTCAACTCTTCATATGTCTGGGCGTCATTCTGCACATAGGTCCTTTGTTTTCCAGTGCCACGAGCCCAGGAATCCAGGCAGTTTTCAACCACACCTATTCGGGAAATGTTTCGGCAGGCAACGAGAAGCTGTACACGTTCACACACAACACGTCAATGGTACCGTATATAGTAAACTTCTTCTTCTTTTTTCTTTTGAGTACAGACCTCTTTACAGAGTATTATCGTACTATACTGGGGGTGTGTGCAGGTGGACCACTACACCGGAGTTTCCCCCTACTCTTATACGAATAGTGCAGTGGGTTCTTAACGTGCAAAGGTAGTGACTCTTCTCTACACGCCCTCCATTTAACGTCCTATCCGAGGGACGGAGTGTTTTCCACTTGACATAACCCGCGTCTATGAACAAGGGAAGGGGCACGTTAACACACAACGCAGGCTTCAGTCATCGGCTTTGGGTGGGAGTCGAACCCGGGATCTTTGGTTCGACAGACGGACGCTTTACCGACTGAGCCTTGAGGCTGAGTGCGAGTGCAGTGCGTGAACTGATATGGTTCAGTTTTATGTGATTATGAACGATGCATTTATATGCATGTTATGTACAAGATAGAAATAAGCAAATAAGTGCGTGGTATCTTTGATAAACTGGCATTTGTGAACCTTCTCCTGTCCAAGCTGGGGGAGATTAACTAACTGATTTAATTTAAGCTGGAATCCAGCAAAAAGTTTGCCATCGCCCCTGGCTTAATCAGTAGGGCCGCTGCAGGTCAGAGGATGAGGATCGTCCGCATTTTCGCAAATGTTTGTTTTTCTTCAGCGCTCCGTGGGTTTTCGATTCCTGATCTGCGCGCTGGCATTGCGAAAAATGGATTCCGCGTAATAAAATACCCCCAGTTTACTGTCTACTTTTATGGGTTAATTGTCCGTCTTCCCGAGGATTTATCGCTCATAATAAAGTGAAAGTCTCGGAAGTTGCGATATAGTCGATGCAAATTAAGCCAATGGAAATGCATCAAGAAAATCATTGTGGAATCCGTCTTTTCGCATCGCCAAGTGCAGATCAGAAATCAAAATCTTCAGCGAAAATGCGGAGGCATCTGTCCCCATTTACGAAGAAGTTCCATATCCTCGGACTAGCGCCCCAACCGTTAATTGGGTTTTCTTTTATATTAAATCTAGATTAAATTACAGTTTGATTTCGAAAAAAATGATGATTTGAAAGGAAATATATCAAATGACAATATGACATTCAAAATCAATTTAAAAAAAAATCACTTGATTTCAGCTGTGCTGTTTGTTTTCTTGAAGCGACTGCGCGAGATGAGATCAGTAATCACACACAAACTGCATTGCGTAACCTCCTCTCACTAACCTGTATGATATACTAGAGAGCTTGCAGTCCCTGTATAGACCCTAGGCTAGAGGCGGTCAGTGATAAATCAGCTGTAAACTCCTGTGCACGTTTTTTAATGACTTTCTTATGAGTTGCAGCACATTCCGATCCGACATCAAATTTTGAGACTGCGAATATCTTTGGAATTCTTTGACGATAAATTTTTGATCTACAATGTTGCTGTTAACTGCGGAATGATTGAAGTTAAATGATATGTTTAGAATATGAGAAATCATGGATTTTTGAAAATCTCCGCAAACTTTGATGATCTCCCCATCATATTAGGGGAATCCTTTAATAAAACTGACATAATTTGGAATTTGGTTTCCAAAATGGTAGGACTTTCTCCCAAACAGAATAGCTAACCAAAACCTTGACTGTCTCCCATATTATAAGTGTACCTCTACCTCTCTGGCACTTGCAATAGCTCATCTAGGTCAAGATCTAATACAAAATACTGTAACTTATTGTAATATTTTCAAGGAAAAACTTATACCGGCGTGTCCAGAAAAGAGAGGAAAATTCATACAAATGTACAGGAAATAATAGTGAGAGGATGACATCATCAACTTGCTAATTTGCATATAGCCTGATTGTTACATTAACAATTATGCGAAACTTTGAGAATTCCAGAGCTTTTCTCTTGGACCAATATGCGCCACAATTAACCTCACTATTAAATTTGCTGCTCATAAAATACAATGTCGGACGTACGGAAAAATTAATCTCTGACGTACATATACGGTATGTCCGACCACATCATTTTCCTCTCATTTTAAAAAGAGAATTACTTAGATGAATCCAATATTGTATCTCATGTATGCAGAGGGTCTAAAACTTGATTTTCATATTTACATAGATTCTGCCTTTCATCAATTGAGTATTTTGTCTTTTTGTAGCATTCAAAAATGATGTTTTTCTATGTCGGATGAACATGACAACAGTAGTAGCCATATTAAGTACATGTAGTAGACAATATATTTTTTTATATACACTGTACATGTACAGTACACACGGATACTACATGCTATACTCTTTCAACCTATGATGAGCTATCATGGAAAAGGCATAATTCAACTTATCTTCTTTCATAAAAAATATGAAATATATTAAGTATACACAGTGGTAAAGGTGGATACAATTACATGTACATGTACATGTAAATGCTCAGATATGGATGGGTGGGTGTACATGTGTAGGTCATCATTAACCTTCAATATGATATATAATCTTTGGACCAATTTGAATGTTTTGACAAATTTGGTCACGTTTTTGCTCACATTTAATTTTGGAATCACTCTTCACATTCTCCCCCTTCATATTCAAGTGTTACATTTTCATTCAGTAGGCCCTAAGTAGTCTTTTTCACATGATATACCTAATTAGAGTAGCCTACACCAGCATATGAAGTCTTCTTATTAGTTGCCGTAGTAGTTCATCAATATTTTATTAGCATCTAGGGATTGGGGTTGGGGGGGGGGGGGCAGTGAAGTGATTGAAAGAACCTGTCTATAAAGACTACCTGCCTTTAAAGACCACTTTCTATTTCCTTTTCAGTGGTTTAAAGGTTTCACTGGGTATCTCTCTCTCTCTCTAAGTGCCATATCGATTGACTTTGGCGATCATGCTGTTCCACAACCGTCGGCTTCTAGCCTTCTGTATTAGTACCACTCCCAGTTCTTTCACTTCTCTCTCTTCCAACAATTTCTGCAGACTGTCCATCCGAAGTATCCTCTTTCTTCCCCTACTCCTTCTTCCCACAATTTTCCCGTCAAAGCAAGATTCTCTAGGCCTTCTTTACGTGTAATGTGACCCATGAACTTCAACTGCCTAATCAACATCTCACTTATCATTTTCCTTTGCACTCCAGCTCGTGTAAGAACTTCCTCATTACTAACTCTGTCAGTCCAGTATACAATTAGCAAAGCAATTTTTCATACTTAGTGTTTCATACATATTGTAAATTTAAAAATGTGTGTGTTTTTCACACATCAAAAATAAAAGGGAGACTAGCTGAATTAGGGCCTTTGCTGAATATCTTCAGATGTAAGCTTTAGGCTACTGGATGTCACATTCTCAAGAAACAGAAATCAGAACAAATCAATTTTTTACACACACATACAAAATTACAAAACTCTGAAGGGTATTAAATAATTTAGTTTTTATTTAATCTATTCATACACTCTGTTTAATCTGTTGACTTGTACGCTTTTCCCCCTTCACATTCACATTTTGTCTTTCTTCTTCATTTTACACATTTTTGGTTACATTATTCAGGAGACACTTTCTAATTCAGTAGACATACAGCAGTCTTGTTTCACACAGTTTACCTAATGAAAGTAGTAGCTTAGCCTACACTAGCATATGAAGCCATCTATAGCCAGTAGACAGTAGTTCATCAATATCTTATTAGCATCTGGAGGTTGGTGGGCAGTGAAGTATGGATTGGAGGCCAGTCAGGCGTGCCACATTGTAGGTGTAATTTACTCTTAATGGAGACAAAGCCAGATTTCTCAATTACATGGCCTCTTCACACCATAAGAAATTTATTTGTTACCAAGTATTTTTCAACTTGAAACATACTGGGTGTCATTTCAAAGCCAAATTTCTCTGTCACATGCCCTCTTCACACTATACAAAATTTATAGTTTACCAAGTATTTTTCAACTTGGAACGTGCTGGGTGTAATTTACACTAAATGGAGACAAAGCCAGATTTCTCCATTACATGCCCTCTTTACACCATAAGAAATGTATACGTTACCAAGTATTTTTCAACTTGAAACGTGCTGGGTGTCATTTACTCCTTATGGAGGCAGAGCCAGATTTCTCCATTACATGCCCTCTTCACATCATAAGAAATTTATAAGTTACCAAGTATATTTCAACTTGAAACTTGTATACACTATCAAATATTTTCCTCCTTGATAAAAGGAATTGTGAATATGAATTGACATAAATTATCATTTTGTTTGTTTTTTCATGATAAACGAGCTTTATAAATGTGGTTATTACTTTAAAATTATGAGTTGCTTCCCTTAGCAGTTGTATTTGCATTGTGTCATCTCAAAGGTTAGGCACTCTTTTTCATTGATTAATTATGCTTTAAATGGTGGTCCCTTGTTTAATTTACTCTTAATTGAGACAAAGCAAGATTTTCCCATTACATACCCTTACCCTGTTTACACCTTCAGAAATTTCTAGTCTAAGAGTATCAAGTAATTTTCAACTTGATTATAATGGAATCGTTAACACGAATTGACATAAAAATATCACTTTCTTTGATGTTTCATGTGATTCAAACTACATAGCAGGACTACATGCCTTTAATACAGTCATCAGATAGACTGATATCTTAGATGTGGTCGTTAATGGCATAGACCGGTCCACAAAACTCGTAAAAAGAAAACAAATTCAATACATAAAAGAATCAGTGAATACTGAAAGGCGTGCTTAAATTGGAAAGAAAAGTTATCAAGAAGCATTGTGTAGTGAAAATGAAACTAGTTT